AGAGTAAGTTAATAGTGTTAGCTGAATATTAGGAAATTTTTGAAGAAACCATGTAATTTGACCAAGCCCATGAAAGTGCTAAGGACAACACCGGAGCCTTGGGATGCTACCACCATAGGGCAATATTTTTGGGGAATTAGCTTAACCATTATGATTTGTCCTTATTTCTTTGCAATTTTTAAGTTTGCTTTATAACTTCTGTATTCTAATGTGCTCTACAACTAAGCTTAATTATTCAGAAACACGAATTTACCTCACTTTATCTAAAGAAATGTGGACATTCTCCAGGGAACTGACTCAGTATTTGTGTTACTTTTAATGTGATAATAATGAAGAATGGGGAGGGGATGTAAGAAAGCACATGAAGTTAAAGGTGCAGGGAAGAAATCCATCCCAGATCCTCATTGTTCCTTGAGGAACAAAGGGCCTGTTTTAAGAGTCACAAATGCTTACCTTGGAATATATAGTGCCAGGCATGGCTAGACAGAACTATTAGCAGATTATTTTGCTTAATAAAAAAAAAATTTCTTGAATTCTAATAAAGTAATGCCTTACAACTGTACAGCACTTGTGGCTAACAAAGAATTTTTTGCATATATTATTCCCACCACTCCTAATTAAAACTTCCTAAATTAGTCAAGGCAGGTATCCTAGTCCCAATTTAATGGGTGGGAAACTAAGCCCCAGAAATTGTGAAAGAGTCAAGAACACGTACAGTCATCTTGTACATAAGGCAGGACCCAAAACCAAATCTTCCAGTTCCTTGGTCAGTATTCTGTCCTGGACCTAAATAATAAGAAATTAATTTAAAAGCAGCTAATTATTTTAGAAAAGGGAAGTAGCTCTTGTGACTATTAAAGAATGATTTATTAGACGTATAGCTTCCTGAGCTTAAAAAAGGTGACTTTCATGATAGTAAATTACACCTCAACAAAGCTGTTTAAAAATATTAAGGTTTTCCCTCATAGACATTCAGCTCCAGTAGTAGCAGAAGTTTAAGGAGAATTTTATTCTTTTGATATTTTGCAATTCTGCTTAAATCTTAGATTGAAGCAATCCCCTTTTAACAAGAATCCCCCTTTTAAAGTGAAAAGATGCATTCCTTTTAATAGACTTTTCAATAGTGTGTAAGAAGTTTTCCTGTCTTTCTCCTCATCCCAGGCTCTCGGTTTGATATGGCTCAACACTTTCATTTTTCACCAGAAGCAGAGTAATATTTAGTTGAATTTATAGGTAACATTAAAGACAGAGCAAGGCTGAAGTCTAGTCTCCTCCTGAAAAATAATTCACATGCTACAATAGTTTTTAAATGCTCAAGAGGCTAAGTCCCAACACAGAAGCATAAATTCCAGTGTTTGCAATCAGTTTTCTCGCCTCCCAGCTGGGGGCAGGAGGTGTGGTTTCGGAAGCACAGCAGAATCTTACCAAGGACGGAGGGAGGCAGGCATAGGCTGGGGCTGTGCGTGCGCTCCGCTCCTGGGAACTGCTCGAGGCCTTGCTTTCCGTTCCAAGTACGTGAGCATGCACAGATCCAGCTGTGTTCTAATGTAATTTCTCAACTGAGAGTATACTAAAAAGGCAGAGTTCACAGGTCTTTACGCTCCTGGGATGCGCCCTGGCGCAGCGCAAACAGCAACCATTTCTGCGGTGAGTCGGCAGCCGAGGTTTAAAAAAAAAGTCTGCTTAGTGCTAATTTGCCCCTAGAGGTACATGTGTTTCGTACATGTTTTTAAGTAAATTGTACTTCATTTAAGTTGCGCTTTGTTTGACCTTTGTTAGAAACAAGACAACAGGCCCGAAATGGAGCGGCTTATGCTGAGCCCCACATCACCAGACCGAGGCTTCCCTTTAGTTTCCGCTCTTTCAGAAACGGAATCTTAGGCCTGCCGGTCAGGGGCTGCCCGGTGAGCACGGGTTTGGCAATCTGCCTGGTCCCTACAGGCAAGTAACCCTGCCGTAACCAACCTGCTGTTTCAACAACCAGCTTCCTCGTTCCCACCCCCTTCTGCTGTACTCTTTGGTTTTGTGCAGCTCTCAGAGCTCCTGTCCATCAGCTAGATTGGATGCTGCTGATTCAACTGGTTTTCACGCAAGTAAACTATTAAAATTTTTAATAAGCTTCAGTTTCTTTTAACAGAGTCTTATCCTGACTGTGACGGAGGGTGATATGCAGATGTGTTCCTTTAAGAAAAGCACAATGGAGGAAAACCAAAACTCACAAAAACAAGTTAGATGCAAAAATGAGCAGCACAGACAAAATAAGTAAATAGGAGCTCAGAGAATGTGGATGTAAAAGGAGAAATGCATCAGCAAAGCTGAAGAATATTTATACAATGGAGGATTAGGCAGCAATAAAGAAAAAGACTATATGTTGCTATGGAGCAATCCTAAGTGAAAAAAGTAGTGTAATGAAACATAAAAGAAAAGGGAATGATAGAGATAGGTAAATATAAATATATACACAGATATACAAAACACATATATACATATTGCTCATGTTTTTATAAGAAAAAAAGCAAGGGAAGATTACAGAAAAAAATATAAATGATTACCTACAGGGTGAGGAAGAGAAGAAGAAATGACAGGGCTGAAAGTTAGACTTTTAAAAATACAATTTACTTTATATTTTTTTTATCTGGAACTAGGTAAATGTTTCACCTGGTAAATCAAACAAGAAAAAGTGATTCCTAAACACTGAAGGGAAATAAGAAAATAAATGAATCCAACTGTATTTCAAGTTGGTGGCATACCAACTAGAGATTTAATTCACTTGATTTTAAAAAGCATTTTGGCTATACAGTGATTTATATCCTAAGGACAAAATGAACCATAAAGACATCCTAAATTGCAGCCTATGGTCTCGATGTTAGTGGGATCATTGGTATAGTCATTTTAAAACTACAGATAAGAATTACATAATGAGTAATTATATGACTATTTCTCATTAAAAAGATTTTAGCATAAAGATGTATAAACATAAAATCAAGTAAAATCTTCTCATCTTTAATTTGGACTAGAAATGACATATAAGTTCATGACAAAATTTTCTTTTTCTAAAAACTTATTTCCCCGCTATGCCCACTAAATAAGTCTAGAAATAATAATAACCCAGTAGCCATGAATAGCTCTAGTGCCAAAATCGTCATCTCCAAATATCATTTGCCGAATTGGACATTCAACATGAAGGAAATGTATGATATGAGCCTGGATATCTTTTTTTCATTTTTTAACTGAACTATAGGTGATACACAATATTATATTGGTTTCAGATATACAGCACAATGATCAACAATATATTACCAAATATATATCATTTTGTTTGTACCTCTTTATATCCCTTCCCCTATTTCACCCATTCCCACATTCTCTTCTCCCATGGCAATCACTAGTCTGTTCTCTCTGTTTAGGAGTCTATTTGTTTTGTTTGATTCCATATATAAGTGAAATCACATGGTATCAGTCTTTGTCTTACTTCATTTAGTATAATACCCTCTAGGTCGATTCATATCGCTACAAATGGCAAGATTTCATTCTTTTTTATGGCTAATACTCCATTGTATATATGTACTATGTCTTCTTTATCCGTTCATTGACCTACAGATGGACATTTAGGTTGCTTCTGTATCTTGGCTATTGTAAATAATGCTGAAATAAACATAGGGGTGCATATATATCTTTTTGAATCAGTAATTTTGTTTTCTTTGTGTAAATTCCCAGAAGTGAAATTGCTGGGTCCTATGGTATTTATATTTTTAGTTGTTTGAGGAACCTCCATACTGCTTTCCACAGTGGCTGTACCAATTTACATTCCCAGCAACAGTGCACAAGGATTCCTCTCTTCTCTACATCTTCATCAACACTTGTTATTTCTTCATGTTTTTTTCTTATATTAGCCACTCTGACAGGTGTGAGGTGATATATGATTGTGGTTTTGATTTGCATTTCCCTGATGATTAGTCATGTGAGCTGTTGGCCTCTGTATGCCTTCTTTGGAAAAATGTCTATTCAGGTCATTTTTTAACTGGTTGTTTTTCTGGTATTGAGTCATGTGAGTTATTTATATATTTTATATTTTTAGCCCCTTGTCAGATCATTCACATATACTCTCCCGTTGCCTTTTTGTCAGTGGTGTCCTTTGGTGTGTAGAAACTTTTTAGTTTGATGTAGTCCTACTTGTTTATTTTTGCTTTTGTTTCCCTTGCCTGGAGAGACATATCCAGAAAAAAATTACTAATGATGATGCTTTTCTACTGGGAGTTTTATGGCTTCAGGTCTTATATTTAGGTCTTTAATGCATTTAGAGTTTATTTTGTATGTGGTATAAGATGGTGATCCAATTTCATTCTTTGCATGTACCTACCACCCACTTTTCCCGGCACAATATTGAAGAGACTGTCTTTTCCCCATTGCGCATTCTTGCCTTCTTTGTCATAGATTAATTGACGATATAAGTTTGGGTTTATTTTGGGCTATTTGTTCCAGTGACTTATGCATCTGTTTCTGTGCCGGCATCATACTGTTGTGATCACTATGGCTTTATACAGTAGGTTGAAATTAGGAAGCATGATACTTCCAGCTTTGTTCTTATTCCTCAAAATTGATTTGGCTATTCAGGGTCTTCCATGGTTCCATACAAATTTTAAGATCACTTGCTCTAGTTCAGTGAAAAATGTCATTGGTATTTTGATAGGGATTTCATGAATCTAGAGATTGCTCTGGGTAGGATGAGCTTGGATGTCTTTTTGTGCCCAAAAGCAAGGAGTTATCAAAGACTGTGAGGGTTATTTTAAGAGAAGACAGGAACCAACTCCCACTCACCAAAGACAGAAAAATTTCAGAATCACAGAGAATAATGTCTGGATTAATGGATTTAAATGTACCAATATATAAACACATGGATGTAACAATCACTGCCTCCCAACCTTTGTCACCTATGGAGGTTGTGAGTGCACCACTCGTTATTCTGAAATTGGATAAAGAGAAAGATGAATGTGTTTAACCTACTTTCCTATAAATGGTATTTTCAAGTATGGTAGCCAGACTCCAGTGGCCCCCAGTGATTCTTACCTTCTAGTAGACACATCCCCTCCCACACTGAATAGGGCTGAACTGTGGGAATGATAGGATAGTCTGGAAATGACAGTTAATGACTTCCAAAGCTAGGTCAGAAGTCATTGCCACTTCTGCCTACCTCAAATTATTAAATTTAAGGATTAAATGGGCCTATCCACTGAACATTTTGAATAAATCAGACTATTTAATACAGTCCCTCTGGCAGTTAGATAAAGGCTGAATTTACAGGTAGTTGACCTAAAAGCAGAGGAAACTATTCTGAGTCCATAATAATAATAAATGTTTATTATTGCTTTAAGCCATTAAGGTCTGTGGTAATTTATTATGAAGCAATAGATAGCTAATACTAAATAATATGAACTAGCCAGATAATTGATGAGAAGTAGTTCTTAATAGAACTGAGCTAATAAGTGTAGCATAAATAATAGAAATGAGAAACATCACCATTTTGTAACCACCAAAGAAATAATGACTGCTTGAACCATTTAGTCAAAGGTTGATGGAAAACTATATAATGGTTGCATCAAGCTGACACTACTCAAGCCAACTGATCAATCATAACATAGTTAAATATGCAACAGACAGCATACGTCTTCTAGTGTCATGTTAAAACTATACAGTACCTCCTATAATGCGTTAAAACACCTGAACATGAATCTAATCAAGGATCCATATCTACAAGTTTATGAGAAATATGGGCAATAGAGGAAAACAAGTTAAATGACAGCCAAATCCACAGTACAGGAAATTCCACTGAAAAAATGACACAAAAAGAGCACAGACAGAAACAAACACAGTGGGAGCATTTTTATCCTGGTAACAAACTGTAAGACCCATACCATACAGATGCATTTGTAGAACCTGTTTGAATCCTGATGAGCTCTTAAAAAATAAACTTTTATAGACAATCCTAATTAACACAGCAATTAGATAATAATAAATTAATGCTAACTTTGTGGGGTTTGATAATGGTATCGTGGTTGTGATTTTAAAAGTTTCCCATCTGTTAGTGATATATACTGAAGTATCTACAGATAAAATAGAATTTTTTTATTTTAGTGGAGAAAGAAAGAAAACTAAAGAGCTGAAAATTTATCATTTGAAGCTGGGCAATGGGTTCAAGTGCTTCATTGATAACTGGTCTTTTTCTACTTTTGTATGCATTTGAATTAAAAGCAATAGTACATACAATATGTATTTTATCTAATTTATAAAATTCACAAAATACAAAAAGAATATACACATGACCCCAACAGTTACAGATAACTACTTTCAAAATTTGGGGATATTTCATTCCAATCTTTCCTCACCTTCAGCTCTTAGCTGCCAAAACAGTGTAAATCCACTATTTGATGCCACCTATGGAAAATGTATTTGAAGGATGTAAATTCTTAAGTTCATACTTTCTGTTCCTTTATTTTTTAAGTAGCTAGAAAATAAGTAAGAATTCAAAATAGATTTTCTCAAGCCTCTGATGTCAGTTGCTTTCTACTAGACCCTTGAGCTCTGCATAAACTGTGAAAGTCCAAAGACCTTTCCAAGATGAATGCAGATTCCAGGAGGAAGGTGTATGC